CTAATGTAGGAGATGAAGGATTTAGATGTATTAAACTGTGTTAATAACTGTGCTGTTTTGGGAAAATGTATAGATTGTGCTAATCAATAGCTGTGCTATTCTGGAAAAGTAGGAATTAATGTAAGGAATAAATTATTTAGGTGTATTAACTTGTACTATTTACACTGATTCTCCCTTCTTTGGGGTGGAATGTATAATCTCTGACTCCTTGGTGTTCTTAAATTTAAATTTAACCAAAAATGTGCCTTCATGAAGTTCTTCTGGCAGGCCACTTCTCAGAATGTGCTTCACAATAGGCTCCTTAACTCAAACCTATAAGAGGAATTGTTAAAGGAGCAGTTGGGGGTAGGAGGGTGGGTGGAAGACAGTGTTTCTGAGAATGATTGGATGATGGGAGGAAGAGAAAGCTGTACATTGATTTCAAGGCAAATTAATTTCCCAGGAAACGTATTGAGAAACTTGCACATTTCGTTGCTTCGCTTGTCTCCATCCAAGCTTGGTTCTGGCACATAGGAGGGCAAATAAAATGGCCTAATAGGTGTCTTCTGCCACTAGTGTGAATGTAATTCCACAGCAGAATACACGAGCTAAAAGTTAAGCTAAAAGATAACAACGAGCTTTGATTTATTTCTATCAATGTAGTGATACAACCTTAAAAAATGAGAACTTTTTATTATAAAGTAGTATAATAGGAAATCATAAGAATGCATAACTTTACTGGGCAAAAAATATGGGTAAGAATAATGTCCAGCTTAACCAAAGCTACATTTGAGGGATACAACTTGTTCAAACTACAAATGCATAATGCAAATGGTAGCTAATACATATAAGTGCTACCTGGTGTTGGATATGGTTTTAGGTTTCTCCACACCACACATTAACTCATTTAATCCTCATAGTACCATGAAGTCTATATATGGACTCATCCTATGTTACAGATGTGGGGTCAAGATCGATGATGATGATGAAGACAATGATCATGACAGCAGTGATGATGGCACCGACATGCCACACAAATCAAACTGCTCCTGGGGAGCCATGTCCAACCCTCAACAGTTTTAAAATAAAATATTCAAGTTAACACATATGTATAAAACTAGGGCATTGAAGCTATTCATAAGATTACAACCAAATATGATAGGTTTTTAAACTCATAAGCACTGCTTTGATTTCGCATATAATTTGGAATGTGTTTATTTTCTCCTGAAGTTTGGATTACAATAGTATAGTGTTGAAAGTTCTATTGGGTCAAAGTCCTGAATGATTTGTGTACATTCTGGGATCATAGGTTGCTAGTGAGAAATGGCATAAACCAACACAAAATGGTTCAGTGGTCTTCCCTTCTGTCCACAGCTTCAGAAAAAAGAAAAAGGATGCTTGGGAATAGCAAAGAAAATGCAGACTTTAAAGTCAGAAGACAACCTCCAGCTTCTTATCTGTGAGATTTTTGTAATAATTAACTTAACAGATAAAGATATTTTGGAAACCAAATGAGATACTCCCTGTGCAAGCACTGTACAAATGCTATTGTTGTTATTGAAAGTCATATCCCTTTACTTTCAAAACAGCCACTTTAAAACCAAACACACTAGATCATCTGCTTTGTGCATTAGCTCTGTATGTTATCAGTACACTTTTTATAGTCATCTCTCACCCTTTCTAGCCTGTTCACATATTAAAAGCAAGGCTACGACTTTTTTACCTCAGTATCTGCAGCATTTAGCATTCTAGCTAACACACAGCAAGGTTCTGGCACCTGTGTTTAAACTATGCATTTAAAGGAAGGAGAAACATTGATTTGAACCTGAACTATTATGGGCTACACCATGCAACTATGAGGCTTATATGCACTTGTTTCCTTTGATAGGCCAATTAAATAGGTAAAAGTTGTTGTTGCAGGCTTGGTTCCCATGAGTCAGATGCTGGGATGGAGCTTGTGGGACAGGGTACTTAGAAGGGATCAGACCTGTGGAAGGCAAGGGCAGGGAGCAAGCTTAGGCAGAAAGAGAAGTAGAGCTGGCATGCCTCAGTCAATCCAGAGGACAGCTCTGAAGTCAGGATCACAGGCTGAAATTTCTGTCATCCAGCCAAGAGAGCCAGGCTCTCATACCCCATCCTCCATCACATAGGAGCCTGAAAGAGCCTGCCCTTGGGCAAGGTGACTCTGCAGCTGAGGCAGTCCCTGAAGGGATTGACTGCCGAGGCAACAAATCCTTCCTTGGCACATGCCCATGTTCACCATAGTCACCGACTTTAAAATATTCTGTCTACCACATGAGAAGATGGCATTATATTTGAGGGCACAGAATGACTTTAATCAATGAGAAATTTGGAATTGCCTTCACAATCAAATTACAGAAAAGGCCTATGCTGTCATAGGTTTACAGAAGAATATACCAAAACATTTCATCAATATAGTGAAGACTCACAGGAAAACTTGGATTTGTTGGCATGCAATGGCATTTTCTCATAAAATGCTGTCCTTCAACAAGGAGTGGCTGGGTGCCTGTTTGTGCCTTGAAATAGGCATTACTAAGCAAAGTGCTCCTCCCAGGGTGTCCTGATACAGATAAGTACAGACCCTCTCTTCCCAGATCCATGTCCCTCCACTGTTCTCATTTGTGAAGGGAATGGGCATGTCTGTCCCCAGGGTGTGGCTGCATCCTGGGGTCAGGAAGAGGGCAGCATCAGTAGGATATGGCTTCCCTTTCGGATCTAAGCCTTCCCAACCCCCAACCCCCATGCATTTGGTGCTCCATCTTGGGCAGCTCTCTTGCTCAAGTGTGGATGTTTCAGTCAGGCCTGAAGAAGTGACCAGAAGTAAGTCTGTACCTTAATTCCTCCCAGGTCATAAGGAAGACATCAAGTTACTCATAAAGGAGTCATAACATGTATGCAGCCTGGTCTTCCTAATACACAATAAAGTGCTGGGTGGATTAGCAGACACTTAAATTCAGAAGAAAATCAACCATTCTTTCCTCATTACCAAGAAGAGCTGATTTTTCCTTCCTTCTAAGCTTCTGGGGAAAGTTCAGGAGCTTACATAAATAAGACTTAACAGATTGGTCTGGGAAACTGAGATCTCAAGAAAATCAATTCAGTCTATAAATCCCTCTATCTTCCAGTGCAGTGTTAACTCATTACTAAGTGCTTATAAATGATGAGGGCAAGAACAGTTTATAAGAGGCTTGTCTTCCACTGTGCTGGATTATCATACAGATTTTTGAGATGTAAGCTACTAAGATTAGAATATATTTTTTGATTTCCCCTTATTCACGCATAGCAAATGGAGAAGACGGGTGAACATTCCTAAGGCATTCCAGGAATAGTGTTCAACTGATCAATGTTTTCATTGGGTTCTCTCTCAATCCTTAGGGGTAGACATTAAAATAAGGCTAAATATATTTAATTTTTTAAAGATATACTACAAATTCCATAGTAACTAAATATCCAATAATGTCTAAATACTTGCAGTTCCCAGGGCTATTTTTAGGTCGTTAGGGAAATAGAACTTTTTTTCCTCTTTCTCAGCCTTGCTATGCCCCATTAAACTTTATTCCGTCTTGCCATGCTCTTTGCCAGCCCATTCACTGTATTCCATATCCATGATCCTAAAAACAGTGAAGGTCCTTTCACTGCTAGTACCCATGGCTGGGGAGCAGGATGCCTGGGTTCTAGTTCCAAATCCAAGAGTCAGTGTGTGATTTTGAACAAGTTCCTGGGCTTCTGTGGGCCTCCATTTGTTCATCTATTTAGGTAGAGATGAGAATGGATGATTTTGAATGTCCATCCCAGTGCCACTGTTCTATGGCTGTAATAATTCCAAGCTCATTTCCACGGGGCAAGCTTTGACAATAGGCCATGTAATGGGCTTTGAAGGGAATATTTTCTATGGTTTTCAGGGAGTTTGGAAAGTATAAGTCATATAACTGCCCCCTCCAGTCCCAAATTGGTAGCAAGGAAATAATGACTGGAGTTTGGGAGCATATGACTCTGAAAGCAAATTGAGTTTTCAAAGCCAGGAGGAGATATTTTAAGGCTAGCAGTATTATTTCCACTTTTTTATTTGCAACATGAAAGAATAGCTATAAATGTGACCAGCAGTTAATACTTCATTATCAGTTAAGAATTATAACCATTTAACTTGTATTAAATTTAATTCTCTTTCATGAAAAAATTTCTCTTTGTGTAACAGTCCAAATTACTATTTCACCTTTGCCTTCAGAATGAGGAGAGTCTCCAGTTAGTGGACTGGCTCTATCACTGTGAAGGTTAAGATCAAGGTCAGGGTTTAACAGCATTAATTTCATTCTGTTCCAAAGCCACAAATACACATTTAACCCTGCTGGCTTTCTAAAACATGTGTGAATGCTATGCCAAAGAGTGTACAAAACCATCATCTCTACAGGACAAATAATTCACAGGTGGACTGTACTAACAGTGGACTGCCCCATCCTCTCTGGTGAACCAAGACAGCATGGTGTCAAGGTTGTCCTGGAAACTGAGATGCTAGTCTGGGTTAGAGTTGAGATGCTGAGGGTGGATGTAACACCATGGTAGCCCCATGAGCATTTGAGTAATGCTCAGGAGTACAATTGGACCTGGAACACCAGACAGTCAATGTCAGAGAAACAATTGTTAGTGAACTATTTTCAGACTTGATTTATGGATACTTATCCTCTTCTGAGAAAACTGAAGAGATTAAAAAGGAGATGACTTCTCTATTTCATTCCGTGGTGCCTAAGGAAGCCAGAATGCATCAGATTTTGTGCTCATTTGGTTAGCTAACTTCTGAGCCTGAAAGCTGCATTTCTAAGCCCCCACCATGCTAGGACATTGATGTCAAAAAATGCACCCCTCATCCATTCTAGAACCCTATTGTCCTGTTTTTCAGGATGCCTCCCGCTACACCACAGGGGATGCATCCCGATAGGATATTTATTCAGAAAAAGCAATACTGACATAGTCAAAATGTTGAAGATACTCTTTTTATTTCACAACATGAGAGTAACTCAAAATCTGAGCCACAAGGACCAAAATATATTTGAACAAAATGTTCAAAAGGTGAGGCAGGCCACCATTTTGGTAGCAAGCTTCACATGGATAGGTGGATGTTAGAGGATGATGCCCATGACATGGCTAAAGCTAGAGCTCACCCACAAATAGAGTCATACTTAGTTGTCCAATTTGCATGCATGAGTATTAGTGCATTTTCCACGCCACTAGTACATATATGCCTTTTTCAAAGTCAGTGCAGGATCCGTGTTTGTGTAGGTTTTTTAAAGTCTGCTCCTTTACAACATTTTACCATAATTTATGTGAAAGAGCTTTTAGGTGACAAATTCTTTACACCACCTTTACTTCTCCAGAGTCATTTCTGAATATAATCACAGCTATCAGGAGTTCCAACATTACATACGAGAATCCATTTGTTAGTGATTTGAAAGTCAGTTAGCTGGCCGTGAGTGAATGTGGCTAAACATGTCCACGTGCTTGGTGCCTGGAATGGGAAATTTGTAGTCTTTAGCAGCAATGGCAGCCTTAGACTGAAGGACAAGATGAAAAACACCCAGATGATGTCCCAGGAAGAGTTGGGCTTTCCTGCTTTCCAAAGCGAATGCTTCCCTCATTTGCACCAAACAGTGACAGCCTGACCCACTCTTGCATGAGAGCCTGCTTTTCCCATTAAAGCTGAATTGTTGGAAAACCAAACAGCATTCAGCACCAACGGGGGAAATGCCTGAATCTGAAAAGGAACCAGAGGAATGGTACCAGGGAAAGGAGACGGGAATGGGAAACAAGTTCCCAGAGAATCTCTCTGTCAACAAGCATGTAGAGTCTTTGTTATCAGAAAATGCAGAATCCCGTGGGAATTGCTGCATCTTTTTTTTTTTTGCCTTAACTCTTTTCTTGCCAGGCTAGTTGAACCACCTCAGCAATCGGGTGGTTGTCCCATCCAGAAGCCATTCCACAGCAGGCCTCAGGAGCTGCACTCCTCACAGTGACAAGAGAGGATGTACCGGTAGGTGGCCGTGAGTCGCATGCCCCCTGAGCAGCGCAGCCTCAATGCCTTCAGCTTGGAGGTCTGGGGCCGACAGCAATGACAGGAGGAGCGGAAGGGCTGCTTCAGGACAGTGCTGAAGGACACCAAGGGCTCAGAGCGTGAGGCCTGGCTGCAGTGTCCCTCACACCTGGCCAGAAGCACCATCTGCAGAGAAAAGAGAAGTGGTTATCCTGTGGCAATGCTGAGACCTCATCCAGTCCCCGCAGTGGCCTATAAGAGGCCCTAACACTCTTTGCCAGTTCCTACTGTATTAAATCGGCGACTTTCAACCCTGATTCAACCATTGGAATCACCTGAGATGGGGGGGTGAGGGGAGGGCCAGAGGGGGTGTGCCCCCATCTTTGACCCAGTGAATTAAAATCCTTAGGGAAAAAGCCTAGGCGCTCATGGTTTTCAAAGCTCCTTGGGTGTTTCTGAAGTGCCCTGAGGGTTTAGAACCACTGGATGAGGCCCACTACCCTGATGTGCAAAGGAAAACCAAAGAGCAGAAGACATTTCTTTGGACAGGCGGTCGTCTACCATTAGCTCACTGTCAGGTCTACCAGTCTCAAAATGCAGGAAGTCATTCCAAAGCAAAATTAGGGAGTATATGAAGAATGACTGTAGGAGAAAGGAGTTTGTAAAGTGCAGGGAATTCCTAAAGAAAAAGAATATGGTTTCTGAAGAAGTGAAAGAGGGTAACCTGAGTACTACTTAGGAAGAAATACTGTGGGTACTACCACTTGAAACAAGAGAATCAAGTTGAAACAGGGTACATTTTGGTCCTGGGCATCACACATTCTGGGCTTATACACTGAAGGACCCTGAGCTTCGTGCAGTCACATCTTCAGAGTCATTTAAGGCAAGTATTAGGGTGAGTTCCTTCTGACCATCGCTATTTCCGAAGGTAAGTTAGAATGATAATAAAGTTTGGGCTGAAGTAACAGAGGCTGTGTGTTCTCTATAGTGTCTCTCCATGTGGCTTTAGTAAACCAACTCCTTTAAGAATCTGATGCCAACTGCCAAAGTTATCCCTAGAACAATGGACATAAGTGCCCATTCTATTCTACCTACAGCTTAAGGGGAGAGGCAAAGGCTCATTTACGAACCCCATACATAAATCCTGGTATCCTGGGAGTGGCAGTCAGGGTGGGTAGCTTGATTCATTAAGCTATAGAACCCTAATATGCAGTGGGGCACAGAGGGTGAGGGAAACCTGACATTATGGGTCCATGTTTATGTGGGAGGGTCTTGCTTAGTGAATTTCATATCAAGTGATGGAGAAAAAGTTGCCCTATAATTCCAGAACCAGCAAGAAGAACATACATAGTGGAACTATTTGAATACAAGATTAAAAGATATCTATATATGCATGAAAACTGTTTGACATTTACCTTGTGCTATCTTGGGAATTAATAGTTATTATTAAAAACTTGCCAGCTCTTATCTCTGACATCATCCTACAAGACAGAATTAAATATCCAAGGAATAAAAGAATGAAATGCATGCCCATCTTTCCAAAAGGAAGAGAAAATGACTTCTGGTAATTATAGATCATTAATGTCCCTATCAGAGAAGATGCTGGGATGAATCCAACAATCTCTTAGCAACCATCAGGAGAATGAGACACTACGAAATAACCAGCACGGCTGCTGAAGAATAACTTGGACTAGACCTACAGATTTGTTTTCTCTGAAAGATCACAGAAACAGAGAAAACAGAGCAACCATAAGCTGTTTTGATTTTACTGAAGTTTTAATTCTATCCTGCCTGCTTTTCACATTGATTGGCAAAACAAACATGATCTGAAAATAGGTCTTGAGAGATGCTACCATAGGTTAGTAGTACATGGGCCAGTCTTTGGTGCCCACCCTGTCCCTCTAATGAGAGAGAGAGTCCGAGGTCTTCCCCAGTCCCTTTTCCCCACACCAGCCAGTACATGGGAAGAGCTCTTTGACCTTTCATTTTGGAGGAATGCTCAGGTTGCTCATCTCCAATGTGGGTCATCTATTAAGACAGATTAAGAGTTATTCAAAGAATCACCTCCCAAAATGAAGTCTTTAGAGATCTGGTTTCAGCCTGGATGGATATGGTGAACCTGTGCCTACAGACTTACTTCTGAAGAGCAAAGACATGGTGATGCATCATACCCAAATGATACATGTGCAGGTGAACCCAAGGTAGACCTTGAAAGACCAGGCAATTAGTACTGTTCAAAAAGAGAGCAAGTCAGCAATGGAGGGCTATGTGTAGAAGAACTAAGTTGATATTTATTTCACTAAAAGTTTTCAGGGTCTTAAGCTCCACCTTCTGCTCATTCTGAAGGACAATAACTCCAGCACAGAAGACCCTGGCGCCACTTCCAATGGGCCCCTCTTCCACAAGGTAAGGAAAATGCACAGACATGTACAATAAATACCTTCACTTACATCTGTTCTCATTCTCAGCACCCACTCTCTTTTCTGATCAGGCTTAATTACTTAGAAGTGCATGGAACTGCCCTACATTTCCCTGCCTCTTACCGTTATTCATGTATTTCCTTTCTTAGGAATGTGCTTTCCTCCCAGCTCTGCTTAATGAAATCCCATTGCCAAATTCAAACGCCCTCTCCTTGAAGGAGAGACTATGAAACAATTATCAACACATGTACACAAATCCCCTCTCTGGAAGATTTCCACTAAATAGCTCCCATCTCAAAGCTGGAAACTATATCCTAGTCCAGCTTTGTTGTGTGTGTGTGTAAGAGAGGTAAAGAGGGGGAGTTTGTACAATGCATAAACGAACATCACTAAGGAACGAGAGGGGTAAATATCAGCTTTCCAGGTTAACTGTTGCTAGTCCACATTTTAGTCTCTGCCATCCCTCACCTGTGTTACAAATTTAATAAGCATCTTCTGACCTCTTCCAGACCAGAGCTTCACAAACTGTAATATACATGTAAATGAGCTGGGGATCTTGTTAAAATGTAGACTGTGATGGAGCAGTTTTGGTGAGGCCAGAGATTCCATATTTCTCATGAGATTCTGGTTGCTGTCAGTACTACTAGGCTCACATCCACACTTTGAGAAGCAAAGCCCTGGACCTGTAAAAGCTTGAGAGGCCCTGCTCAGGATGGATCGCTAGGTGATGATCATTTAGCTAATAATAATAATGGCAGCTAACGTTCACTGGGTGCTTTCAGCACTTAATTTCATTTAATCCTCATAACAATCCTTTGTGAAAGGTACTATCATTATCTGCACTATGATTACAGATGAAGAGACAGTGGCTTTAGAGAGTTTAAGTCATTTGTCCAAACTCACATATCTTGTTAAAGGCAGAGCCAGAATTGCACCCAGTTCTGTCTGAAACCAATTCCCTGCCTTTAATATCCTGCCTTCTGATATTAAGATGTTTTCCTGAGGCATCAGCCAACTCATGCCCTTCTCTAATTTACTTTGACCTGCCTCTGGGAGCCTTAACCGTATTACAACAGTACATGTCTGACTTTTTCCTTATGGGTTTCTTGGGACACGTCATCACCACCTCCACGTTTTTATCTTCTTAACCAATTCATCCTTCATGTCAATAAATCATTGATACTTTAAAAAATCAGTTCACTTGCCAAAACACATTGACCCCCAGTTTGTGGTCAGCACACTTTCTTCATGCTGGGGTGACTTGGCTGTGGGAGGACTCCACATTTTGTACTGCATGCAACTGCTCTTAATGGAGGGCATCCACACTGCTCATCAGCAAATGAGGAAAAGAACTTCTTTTGACCAACATCCCACATGGGGCTTCGCTGTTAGAGGAGTTTCTTCAACAGTTGGTTATTGCTCCTACTACCTTCTATTGATTTCTCACAGCTTAGGTTGGTGATAGATACATGTTATCTGCCTTTGGTCCACTTTAATTTTCACTGTCTTAGGTTCTCCAACCAAGTGGCCTGATGCTAGGAAGCTAGGCAACTTCTCTGGCAGCCCCTCTATGTTCCTCCAACCTTAGAGTCACTTGGCTCCAGTTGGATGTGAAAGCCAGTTCCTTCTAATATGAACAGAGGTGCTGGGTTCACAGTGTTTGTTCATGGATAGGCTCCTTTGTGTTCTAATCTGATGTAGGCAAAGAGTAATGAAAGATCCTTGGCTAATAATAAAATAGTGATAATGATAACATATACTGAACATTTCCAAGGCTCCAGGCACTGTGCCAAGCCCTTTGTATGCAAGTGAATTCTTAACAACCATTTCCAAAAGTAAATGCTCCCTATTTTACAAATTAAGAAATTAAAAGTCAGAGGATAAGTTACCAGCCTGAAGTCACATAGCTGTACAATGGAGGGCCAGAATTCCCACTAGGCCATGACAGTCAGCCTGTCAAGCCTTCAGGTTTCATAAGATGCTCAAGGTGTTGACGGCTAAGTTCAGGCTACATTGTAAGGGTTGTTGCCAGCTGTGATTCCTCAGTCTGGCCCAAGGAGTGCACCAAGACCACTGACCCCTGCCCACTCTGGTGACCTACCGTAGTTCTTCATACTTAACCTTTTGATGTAATACACAACTATCTCATGGGGTAGAGAAAACCCACACACAGGTGGTTTGCATCACCTGTTGTTGAAAACCTCTCACCACCGCCAAAGCCTCTTCCGTCTCCTATCTTGTGGAGCCCCTGCGAATCCCTTGCACATGCCATGACTGAGTAGACGTCTCCATCAGCATCAGAACAGAGACCCACCTATTCCATCATAGAATAGGGTTTTGGCTATTTCACCTCAACTGACTGAGAAACTATTTTTCCTTTTCCTCAGCAACAGACACTGTGCACCCATCATTCCATGGCACCCCTTGGAGCACCTCTCTCTCCTCAGGAACAAGGTTCACCCATGCTTCTCCCATTCCTTCTCTCACCAGCACCCTCAGTAAATGACTGTTCAGCTCATCTCCAGGGATCCAGGTCCACCTCCAAACAGTGTACTGCGCTGAGGGCATCAGGGAATTTGCAATCAGGAAATGGCTGCATGGAAGTGGGGTGGGGTGGAAGCTCTGCAGACTCCACCTGGAATCCGGTGCCCAGACTGATATGAAGTGCCCTTTACACAGAAAACTCTTCCCTTCTCTCTCTCCTCCATTTTCTTCTAAGTGTTAGGAGTGAAAAAAACTTGTCTTTTTCTTTTCTATTTTCTGCCTACAGTACCTACCACAGTGCCTGTACATAGCAGACATTCAGTACAAATTTGTTCCTTTTTTAAAAAAAAATCAAGTCACATCTCCCTATTAGTTGTGTTATAAACTACAGGCAGCCTCAGAAGATGGCTTGGGGACCCTAACCACTCCCGCCCAATCCCCAAGGCTCAGCACCTGGCATGCCAGGTCCCTTTTTGTCTGAGAATTGTCCCAGAGCTTTTCCTCCTGAATCCGCCTCCCCCGTCTCCTTTGTTGCTGCTCCTGTGGCCCCTTAGAGTTCAGACAACCATATGCCCTGGTTCCATGTCCCTGGCCTGGGGCCACCACTCCCACTCCTCACCCAACTCATACTTCACAGGCCTTCCCACTGGCTCGCCTTCCCAGCCTCAGTTCCAAATCTAGAATTTGCTCCCCTCCAGTCCCTCCTTCCTCTACTTACCTGGTAAGGGAGGTCTCACAGCAGGATCTGTTTCTCTTCTACTTTTACCCCCCTCTTAGCACCCAACATTGTAGCTTACATTTACTGTGCTCTTCTGCACACTCACTCCACCCCACCAGGTCTCTGTGTTTAACAAGAACCACAATGAGGCTCATTTCCCTAAGCCCTTAAGGCTCTAGAAGATCCCAACAGTTATTGAGGTCTTGGTAGTGACTGAAATAGAAAAGTGAGTTGAAACACCTGTCTAGTTTAAAACTTCATCATCAAGATCATATCATTTATTAATGTCTATTATATGCCAGACACTGAGCTGAATGCTTTACAAATCTTATCACCAATACCTGACCCACACTTGTAGGTAGACAGCATTAGCTCCATATCACATGGAAGAAATTGAGGCACCAAAGAATTATTTCACTTTCCCCCAAATCACCCACTGGGCACGCACTGTGGAGTTGGAAGTCAAAACCAAGTCTCTCCCATTTCAAAGTCTGATATGCACCAACTCCTTTAAAATGTCCATAGCATCTCATTTCCACTAACCACTGACCTTTTGACTTTTTCTCTACAGCCTTTACTCACTTAGAATTTCGGGACGAGTGTCAGTGAACCTGACACTCCCAGTATCTTTTGTATCCAATTCTAGGAGGTGTCCCCACCGAAATCTACCAGGCACATCCTGATCTGTGTCCTCCTTGGTGGACCACTGTGGCCAGTCCTTTCTGTTTGACTCCATCACAGCCCCTTCCTGAATTGGGAACTGATGGCAGGTCCCTCGGGCTGGCCAACTGCAAATTCAGTGTTGGTGGGAGCAGACAGTTTCACAGAAGGCTCCCAGAAATGCTTTCACTATTATTTCTCTTTTGTAGAAAGATTGCTGAGTATAGATCATTATTTCCAGACAGTCAGTTGAGCCTGGACTTCTACATGGGGGCTTCTATGTTCTACTTGCATTCTTCCAATATGACTATCCAAGTAGTTGAAAAATGAATGCACCGAGGCAGACATTGCCAGTCCTGGGCTAAATGACATGGAGCAATCTACTCAATACTTCTTTAGGGTTTCCATTTTCCTTATGGGTAAAATGGGAATGGGAGTGATTTCCATCACAGGTTTGTCGACAGTGATTAGATCATATATTATGAGATGCCTGTGACATATTAGGTGTTCGAACAGTTGCCTTCTCTTCTCTGAGCCTCTTCATCTGTCTTCCCAAGGCCACACACCAGATAAATGCAAGTTGGGAAGTATTAACAATTGACAGGCAAACAATAGGCATGTGTCTAGTAAAATACTGGCCTTTAAACACCATGTTGAGGGAAACGTTTTGCAAAGAAGAAAAATTTACCCTCTTCTTATAAAAACCCCTGTTGGCTGTTTTCTAGACCCAGGAAGAATGTTTTATCCCAGCTCTGCAAAGATGAACAATTTCGTTACTAAGACTCGTTAGAAAAAAGACCAGTCTGAGTCTGTGAGAGTTAAGAATTACAGGATATTTCAAAATGAAAAGCAGTTTGTGTTCCTGGATACATAGAGAAAAATCTAATCCAGAAAAGGTCTGGGTAGTTGAGATTCTGCCAGGCATATCTTAAGGCCAAGGAAAAAAGGTTTATAATTACAAGCACCATTTACATAAAACTATTGCTATATTTGGGATAGTTTGGGATGTTTGAAAATGGATTGTTCCCATGAAATTACAAACATTTCTCCTACTATCACAATTTTGTGCTATTTACCATAGCATTCTGGAAGAAACAGAATGAACATAGGTGGGCTACAATCTATTTCTAGGATTCATTTGAGTTTTTTGGGTTTAAGTTAATGACATCTCCTCTTTGACCTTCCCTTAACAAATGTGATAATACACTCCTCCATCATTTCACCAAATCTTTCCAGATTGTTTCTTAGTTTTATGAGATGCTCCTATTTCTCTGTTCTTATCATCACATCAACACTTTCTGTGAAATAATTTTAATTCCTTTTTTTTTGTTTCGCTTCTTTTTTTAAGAATCATGTTTATGGAGGATAACTCAACAGAGGGAGAATATCCATGAATAAGAAACACTAAATACTACTGCTACCCGTAGGGGAAAGAGACGAGGAGCTAATAATTGCTCCAGGCAATGTCACTCAGGCCTACAATTTCTGAGCAATCACATTTGTAGGAACATATCCCATCTTTTCAATTTGTTTCAGTTTTTCTTTTTTTTAAGAAGGGATTGCAGCCCTGCAAAAAAATGTTAAGTTTTTCTGTTTTACTCCTTTTTTAGTCTACAAGTACAAATAAGAGCCAGAAGGTTTTTCTTGGGTAAAAACCTTTTTTCCCATGGTCATACATCTTATTAATATAATGGTTAAAGTGATTCAATGCAAATTCTGATTCTCCCCAAACTAAAACAAGCCATCATCATTGAGCTATAATCAGAGAAGTTATGGAAATTTTAAAGGCAGGCAAAAATTGTAATGTTTTTAAATGGAGGGTAGACAAACTAACTTATATGGTCTTAATTCTAGTGGTTGATATTACCAAAACTTCTTAATTATACTGATAATTTTAAAAATACTTACCATTTTTTAAACATATGGGAATGTTTAAACGGTTTTAGTCTCGGGATTAAAAGTGAAAATCTCTGAGTTCAGGCTAAACAAATTCTTGTTTACCAAAAGTGGGCAAATTTCATTCATGTGACTAGAGGCAGTGACTATCATGAGAATTCTCATTCTGAGTCTGTCCCTCCCTGCTATGTGCCTCCCTTCTGACTGGTCCGTGTGGCTGGCCACTCTGAGTGGCCTTGAAGCCTGGTATTCCTTCATATACCTTGTCTCAACACTGAGACATAACTTGTGTCGGTTGCCTGTGCAAAATTATATAACCAAGTCCAAACTGGAATGATTTGGATAATCAACACAAAAATGATAAATGATCAAATTGTCATTTACCTTTTGAAATCATTGTAACAGAAACACAGCAGGTGGAGAAAGGCTGTGACCTTTCTGGTAGGCTAGTGACCAACTATTTTAATCAGGAATCCCTTTGAAAGGCCTCCAAAAAGGATACTTCACTGCCCTTGCATAGTTCTTGCATTTGCTTCCTCTTTTTTGCCGGTGGTTGTAGAAGGAATTGGGAGAACCTAGAGATTCCATTTTTTTCTCTTGAAAAGGGACAACTACTGCTCATAAATCACCCACCCAGGGAGGAAACACACCGCTCCTACCTTGTGTTTAGCAACGATTTTATTGTGAGACACTTCTAGCCTCTCCTATTGCCTTTGAGAAGCCCAAAAAGAGAAAAGCTGGCTGGGTGTGCATGTGGTCAATTAGACAGCTTTACTGATAAGAGTGCAAAGCATGATGGGAAACCCTGAAAGCATGATTCTCCCACAAGCCATGTAGCTTAGGTTTGGGCTATGCTCATAGTTGTCCATCCCTTGACAAAGGAATATGGCTTCTCTCCTGTTTCTGGAAGTAGTGCTACCCTCACAGAGATCTTGATCTTACCTTTGAGCTGCACTTGTACAATGGGTGACTTATAGAATCGACGTAGTGGTGTCTCATGCAGCGGCGAGGGTCCGAGTCCATCATGAACGAACTGTCCGTTTTGCTGTCTGTATCTCCCATTAGAGCCAGCAGGGAGAGCATAGAAAAGGATGCAGCTAGTACATGATTTCTCATTGTTGTAGGGAAAAACTTCTCAAGAAGAACAGTAGAGGGAGGCAGAGGACTAAAAATTAGAAATGCCTTCCCCTCCTAGGACCCAGTTCCTTCCGAGGAAAGGGCAGGATCCGGCTGAAGCCTTCTGGTTGGCATTGTCCTTTGTATGCGGGAGTTCTGTCTTACTCTCTTCACTTGCAATCCATCATCTCAGTGTCTGCTGCACAGCTGAAATGAAAACAGAAATTATTTTCCCCAGAAACAGTTACCCAGAAAAACTAGTGGAACCCAGGAGGTACTGAGTAGAATTTTCCATGTCATTTTGAGTGGAGCATTTCAGTTTTCAGAGTGTCATTAGCATAAGCTATCATCCATTCTGCACCCCCTTCCTGCCCTCCATAGCTTATGTTGTATGTTTATAACCATTTGGGGGTGGACACAATAGTTTAATGGAAGCACATGTTGACTTTAATTGCTGGAATCCATGTTCCTAGGAGCAAGAATAGTTTAAACCCATGGTAAAGATTAAACATGTGGTTCTGGCCAGAGCATAACTGAGTTGGGTGGTCTCATCCTTATCCCTGGCTGGTGGGGGCAAGAGGGTCTATTCAGTTTCTCAGTAAGCTCTAGTGTCAATGTCAGACTACAGGGCTAGAAGAGGAGGCAGGTCAGCACTGGCACAGGCCATGTCCCATGGGAAAGAAGTACATTTTCCATTTCCAAGTCCATAACCAACCAGCCACCTAGGTTTCCACTTCTGTGCTCAGGGCTCAGGGCTCACCCTGTTCTGTTTTGTTTTTTTAAGCCTCATGCCGGCCAGCATCAGTGACAAACTGCATCTGAAATATACATTTTACTAAGTGGCCACCAGTGTAGTTAAGGCAACACATGTGAATTTGCCAATATAGTCACATATTTCTGCAGAGCCCTGTAGTGTGAGCTCATGGTATAATTGGAGCAGAGACTTACCATTAAAATGGGATCAGGCTATACTGGTTTTCCTGAAATTTGCTTTATTCTTTTGACCATATACCTCTCAGACAAAGGACTGGAGTTCAGAGATCTCCCCAAATCTCCTCTCTAACCTCCCCCAGGCATGGCTACCACTGATACTTTATATCAGACCAGAAGAAAGAAAGGATCACAAATATTTTCAGACATTTAGGAAAATTTGGGGACCGGATGTGACATCCCAAACAAAAGGAACATAATAATTAAAGCTTCAGAAAAACTTTCAAAGATATTTCAGATAAAAGTTTGATTATTTTGTTCATAGTGCAACATTTTTTTAAACTTCCTATTCATGGACACTATTCAGGGCACAATATTGATAAAATCAAGATTAGTAGTTCAAGTCCACGTAAGTCAATTAGTTTAGCTTTAGTAGAGTGGCCCTGGACCCACCTAGCCTCAGTTACCTGTCATGAGTGGGGGGCAGTGGATCCCAAGAAGGAAACATTATGTGACAAAAGGTTCTTTCAGAGGAGAGCAACCTTGGCAATCACAAGACCACAGAGCATGTGTTTCAGAGAAGTCCTATAAGTTGCAGGAAGGGCAGGACCAGTAATGAGGGGACCCACCTGGATACCAGCACTGCCATTAATTACCTGGGGGCCTTTGCACAGGTCATTTAAACTGGTTCAGCCCCAGTTTCCTCCTCTGTAGAGGAGGGGAGTTGGGAAAGATGGCTTCTTCAGTCCCCTCTAGCTCTAAAATGCCACCACCTGATACTTATGGATTCAGGTACCATCATCTTTACCATATGCAGAAGATAATTCTAAAGCTGAGGAAACCATATTTTCATACAACTTTGCTCCACTTTCCTCTATGTGCACACTAATGGCAACATCTCGTTAAAATTGATCAAGTCTAAGCCTAAAGCTCAAGATTGGCAAAGGATGCTGAAGACCATTTCTTGTTTTCTTTTCAGTTGCACAGTCTAGGTTTTCCTATGTATGTTACAATGAAATGCACCAAGACTTTGGCTCAAAGAGCCAGAACTTTCTTGGGTTCCATGTTCAGAGACTACAATATTACTGACCATTTCCTGAGTTTCAATGTGACTACATTATCCCAAGTGGTTATCTGTCTGTTTGAAGCCTTAATTAGTCTCAGAAAGAGAATTTACTAGATTTCTCCTTTCACCACTCTGGTCTATTCATATTTCCCCCAGGAGTCAATGGCAAAGGGATAAAGGGAAAAGCAGACATTCAGTCCTGGCCTTCCCTCTCCACTGCCAGCAACTTCTCTTCAGAGCCATGGCCAGGAGGTATGGTTAAATGAGCAAAACAAATGAAAGGAAAACATGAACAGCATGATGGCAAAAAACAAGCAACAACATCAGTAACAAAGCCCTATATTGTGTGAATATATGGTCCTATTTGTTGGCATTTGCCTTTTCTACGCAGGAAAGGAAATATAAAGGGCCCTTAGCCATAGAAGATGGGATCCTTCACTCCTGTAAGATAAATGAAAATTAAAGTACTTTGAGAAACTTTATTCAACCAGATTTACAAAGATTCCAAAGTTTGATCATGCACCCTACAGGCAAGGCTATAGGGAAACAGGTCCATTTTGAAGACAAATTAATTGGTACAAATTCTGTAGAGGTTGATTTGACAATATGTATTAAAATTGAAAATGTGTATAAATTTACACTGGCAATTCCACTTCTGAGAATTATCCTTCTGTGTGAGCTCATACATGCATATGGTCATTCACTACAGCATTGTGTCATAGCATAAATTTGGAACAGCACAAAGTATCCATCAGTAAGTAACTACTTAAATATATTATACAGCATTCACATGATGGAATTCCATGCAGCTATATAAAGAAGGATCTAGAAACTTTACTAACTTGTGTTGAAACAGGGAGGGATAAGAATATATGTGTTCATGTGTATTTACATAGAGAAGCTCTGGAAAAATACCCAAGAGACTATACAATTAGCTATCTGCAGGGGTTGGAGGACAGGCATGGGGGAAAGACTTTTCACTATATACCTTTTTTATTTGTAGATTTTTGAACTTGTGAATGTATTACCTATCCATAATTTCATTTAAAAAATAACACTTTTTCTTTTCAAAGTTTGGCTTGAAAACAGTAATTAAGTCAATGAATATTTAAAGTTTGTGCCAGTCTGAGTATTTTAATAGTATCATATTTCTATTTCTTATAAATATGGGAAGACATGCTAGTCTATTTTATTAATTAAATACTCCTTCAGGGAGACCATTTAGTTCTTGTGCACTACTGCCACCTAGTAGCAACATCATGAATTGCAAGCACAGTTAAATTCTTTTTTTTCCTGAAAGGTGAGTAAAAGCTTTTGCAAGCAAATATTGTGAAGTTTATACGGACAAAGAGATAATTAATGTGTCACAAAAAGTAACTTAATTGTCTTTATTTATTTATCATTTTCTCTTTAAAGATAATCTAAACCCAGTAGTAAAAACGTATACAAAAATGACAGAGGGAATGTTGCTTCACCACTAATAAGAAATCAATTTTTCATTTCAACACACCCAGACAGCATGAAAAAATTTTGGGGGGTTTTATATTAAACTCTGAAATAAAAATGCGAGCAGTAATGTAAATATGCCACAGAACTCAAAGGACCCTCAAAACATAAAGGTAAGCGTCCGGCAATACAATACTGGGATTTCTGCCTTAAGCCTTCGAATTGAATGAACCAATACTAAAATAAACATAATGCTCAAGAAAAGGGCGATGTTGAGTCGAGTTGTCTTAACTTTGTATTGGTGAGGGCATGCATAGGTCAGAGTGAGAGGGAATGTGCAGAGTGAGGGGGAAGCGCTCCCAAAGAGGAAAGTCAGGAATGAATGAAATTTACATCATTTGAGGTCCCTGCTTTACAGCAGTCTGGGGGTATCTATGTCTGCCTTGTAGGAGCTTCTGCCATTTTCTCAAAATCAAATTAATTCCAACTTGTTTTAAGTTTTTTAGAGCCATGTAGCATAAAATCGAATGCTGCCTATAGAGGCTTAAAACCTCGGCCCAGTCAATGATGGATTGAATAAGGACATGACTCTCTTGCTGAACTCAGTAGCTCAGGGGCTGCTCCGTGCTGTGGGTAGAGTCTCTGAGAATGGGACTTGGCCGACGTACAGAGCCCACATTCTCATGGCTCCAATGTGGAGCCTCTGCCGGCAGGAGAGGCACGTAGGCTGGCGTGCCCGACTTTGGAGCTACCCTCCAAATGATACCAGTGGAAAAGAACAACTGGTGCCCAGATTTCCCCACCTGTCATCCTCAGGGAAATAATATAGCAGAGCTTACAGTGGGCCCAGCCTCCTGGGTGAGAAATGGTGTTGTGTCCACAGACCAGCTCACTCTTGGACTGACCTTCTGCCTGGCAGAGGGTAAAGCACTGGTTTCATGCAAGTTATTCCAGTGACAGGCTAACTAAGACAAGTGGATGTGCCAAGAATGGTCTTATTCTTGCCCTGCCTGGCGGACATGAGAGGGCAGTGCTTCAGTACCCATACATCTCCCCCACCCCCACCCCGCCGAGCTGTTTTCAGTACTAATATATACAGGTATTGCCCTCCTGTAGCTTCTTTCTACATGTATTTATTTTACATTATTCATTGAGCACCTACTATGTATCTCCTTTTACTTGGAAGTTCAAAGTTAAGGGTCAGGGGAAAAGATAGTCCTACACCAGTTCCTTCTTCCAGCTTGCTGCATCCACAAAGAGTCTTTTTTCCCAGGTAATTTTTTAGACACATTGATAAACTCCCTCAACATCTAACTCATATCCAACATGCATTGCATCATTTCTAAGAATATCAGGTCAAGTAGATAAAATGTAATGACTTTGGAATGGTGTCAATGTAGACAGAATTACTTGATATTTACTATAATTTAAAACAACCATATCAGGTATGAGTAAGGTAAGGATGGCAGAATATAGAGCCTCTCTCAAAAGAATTGCAAAAAAAAATCAAAGATTTAACTGTGGAAGAAAGCTTGCCACTAGATAACACTTTGTACTAAGATTAGAAAAGCAAGAATCTCTAGGTCTAATCAGAGAGTGTGAAGCGCTAAGTACCCCTTCCCAGGAACTCAAAGAATTCCAATTGGATCTAGTCAACTAGATGCCTTGGAAAGTAAGTCAGATGCCTTTTCCCAAGGCGCTTAATTTATAAACTGTAAACAGCATGTTGGATTTTATAAAACATCCCATGTGCTCAGTGAATGAT